GAACAGAAAAGAGGCTCCTATGGCTAATGCATAGAAACCCTGGTGGCTAGTGGTTAAAAGCTACGGCTGCTAACCAAAAGGTCAGCAGTTAGAATCCACAAGGAGCTCCTTGAAAACCCTATGGGGCAGTTCTACTCCGTCCTTCAGTGTTGCTGTGAGTCGGAATCGACTTGATCGCAACAGGTATGGCTAATGCATAGAGAAGAGGGAAGAGGTGTGTGAAATGAGTTTGCAGAAGTGGCTGGGACTCATATTTTGCAGGCCAACTTCAGGAGACTTAATGTAAAAACCAATGCCTCTAATCTAAAGAGCCTAGCATTTGGAGAAAACAGAAGGCTTCTTAAATGCACTTCCAAGCATTTGCATAAAAAACGACCTCAAAGGAATAGACATAAGATAAGCCCTAAGCAGCCATCTGAAGATCAGTGAGATAAACAAGCGATTTTGGGTTAAAAAACAAAGAACGAAACCTACGTACCTCCTCTTTGCACCAACAGTGTGACCTCACTTCCCTTTGGACATTCGATCAGCATATCCACTACTTGGTTGTGAGTTAGAGCTTGTACGTTCTTCTTATTAACTTCCACTATTAGATCCCCTTCTTTCAGGCCTCGGCACCTTGGACTGTCAACAATCTGTTTCACTCTTTGGCCACCACCACCAGGACTGTCTGCGATTGTAAAACCAAAGCCCATTGGTCCTTTGACTATATGAACAGTTATGAGTTCCGGCTGAGTGGCTATGGAGGAAGCCAAAGAGACAGTGTCGTTGGGGTAACCATGGGAACCACTTGAAGCCACATCGGCGGGGCTGCTGGGCCTGGCATCCTTCATGCTGTTGACTTTGCCTGTTTTACTACTGTGGCTGGCTGGCGAATCATAGGTCTCTTGCCCATTCACAATAATTGGTTCTTTATCCAAAATGGCCACTGAGGTCACCAAACTGGTATTGGGGTCATCTGGGTCAAAAGGCAATGGGTAACCTCGGCAGAGTTCCAGGTCCACACTGGCACCAATGGGAATGGACTGGAAGATTTTCACGACTTGAGCGTGCGTGTGTCCCAAAACACAGGCGTCATTCACACTGACAATGACGTCCCCTAAAAGGTAAGAGTTTGGGTTAAAGAAAAACAGCACCCAGACAAGTCAAATCAGTAACAGAATGTTACGTTCTACCCATACAAAGGTGAACTGAAACTGGATTTGGAAGCGGGCACAAAGAAACTGCTTCTGTTACTTATTTTAACTGCTCATGAGGCATTCTTTTAGCATCTAGCGTCTTTCCTGCTCGTGAGAAT